CAACCTTCAACGAATATTATTAATTCAGAATCTAACGAGGAATTAGAAGTTGCCAGTTGGTTATTTTTTTATTAAGGGTTTAGACGGTAATGAAAGAGGAAATGTGGTGTTGTAGGCTCTTCTAAAATTGGATGAATATGGAGTTATCATTTGATGGACTTACACAATAACGATGACAACATTAGGTGTAAACCTATACGACTTGGATCAATGGCGTAGCCACGGGGGGTCAGAACCCCCCCCCCCCCATGGTAGCCTTCACGTGGCCGTTATTTCCGCTATCTTATTGGGGATGATCGCTACTGTTTATTAACTCCCTCCCCCATAGTACTCAAAAACCCCTCTCATGAAAATTTCTGGCTACGCCATTGACTTGGAAATTGAAACTGCTAATCCATATTTTTTGCATTCGCCATAAAAGTAAAATTTTTATAATTTTAGATTCATGTCACATACTTAAGTTGGCTTGGAATAACTGGAATTATCTTACTAAAATTGTCGAAACTATATAATGGCAAAATTATTGATTTTGATTGTATAAAATTGTTGCATTATATTTAACAAACAGAAGGTTTACGTTTAGGTAACAAATTATAAGAGTGGCCCATATGGATTGGAGAAAGACAAAGGTTTGTACACTTACACGATTTAATTTTATTTAAGTCAATTTAGAAGTACAAATATTAACCCAGACAGCACACTAAATCTCAGAGATATCCACAGAATATCTTTTGTGTATATCCAATATATCCACAGGATATCAGAAATATTCCATGGATCTAATATGGATATCCAAATGTCCGTCTATATCCAGAATATAGAAGATATCCTAATGGATATTCAGCAAAATATCTAATGGGTATCTTCCAGAAAATACAAGAAATCCCAGAGATGTCCACAGAATATATTTTGTGGATATTCAATATATCCAATATGGATATCCAACCAAATGTCCGTCTATATCCCAGGATATTCGGATATTCAGCAAAATATTTTATGGGTATCTTTAGTAGAAGTTCGTAACCAATGATTATTGAATAACGTCGAAAGAAAATAGCAGAGATAAAAAATATTTTCAACACTCAAAATATTTTCAACACTCTGCCTTTGATTTTGCCCACTAAGGAGAAAGTCATCCTTATTAGGACTCTTCAGCAATAAATGAAAATTATCGACTCCAGTCTCTAATGGTGTGATTAGGACACAAATTTCGATCGAACTCAATTACGGCGGGTCGAGCATGAGTAGATGCGATAGTGGTATCGCCATCTATACTTAGTAGGCAGAATCAACATCTAGTGGATATCCACGATGGTTTGCGTTCGCGCATAGTGGATATTTAGTGGATGTTCATGGGATATTGAATACACATTAAAAAAATTAATTTTAAATATCTGAACGGTACTATATATTAGCCACAATGGCGTAATTTTTTAATAATTTGCTATATAATTACTATTATTTATGGACATTTTGCATGTCTATAAATTACATTTCATGGATATAAAATAGATATCTACCATGGACTGGACATTCAGTAAATATCCAAAGGATTTGGTGTGCTGTCTGGGTAAGTTTATATATTAATAGACAGTTTACATATTTCTTATATAAAGCTATTGATAAATAAAGTCTAGAAAACCAGTATTCTTCTTCGGTGTCTGAATGACATAACTATATTGTCTACGGCATGGGCAGTTCCAGGGGGAGGCTACGAGGGCCATGCCCCACACCCGAGCCCCCCTTGAAAATTCGTCTTGGAGCCGCCCTTGGTCTAAGGTTTTAAGTTTCTCATATTATCCATTGCAGCTTTTCTTTCAGGCATCCATAAAGTTCCCGTTTTTTTGAGACGAAGACATTGGGGTCTATTCTGTAACAATTCCTTTATATTTAACGGCCTTTAAAAATATTTTCTTCTTTACTTCTGTCATTATTTAAACGGATCTTTAAAATACATTAGAGGACTATCTTAAAGAAATCTGTTTAAATAATGACAGAAGTAAATTAACGAATACGAACATACTTTTAAAGGCCGCCAATATTTTTAAAGGACGTTAAATATAAAGGAATTTTTACAGAATAGGCCCCATTTTCCGTTAAAATCTAAAGGGATTTCGAGAATTTAGTAAATCGAACTGTCAAATGTTCTTATACAATTAATAGTACTGTTACTTAGGGGTCTATTCTGTAACAATTCCTTTATATTTAACGGCCTTTAAAAATATTGGCGGCCTATAAAAATATATGTTCGTATTCGTTAATTTACTTCTGTCATTATTTAAACAGATTTCTTTAAGATAATCCTCTAATGTATTTTAAAGATCCGTTTAAATAATGATAGAAGTAAAGAAGAAAATATTTTTAAAGGCCGTTAAATATAAAGGAATTGTTACAGAACAGAATAGACCCCCTGCAAGAATCCACAACAAAATATGGGACCACCAATGACGCGGTATTTTCCGGATATTTAGAGGATATTAAGTCTTAAACTTATGTTTCTTATTTCAGTTACCATATTAAACCTATATAGTCTCAATGATAAAAATTCCTGAATTACCTACATTGTAAGATAATAAAAATATTTTAAACAATTAACTTCTCATTTATTCAATAAAAGGAAAAAAATTGTTTTCTTATCGGTCACCACGCTCAAAAAGTGTAACTTGAATTAATATCAAAGAAAAAACTTGAATTAATATCAAAGAAAAAAATACTGCATAAATAAATAATTATAATTGCATAAGTTGATAAAAAAATGCTATATGCCTTACCGCGGCAGTCCCCGAGTGCCACAAGTATTTTTTTTATTTGATTTTTTACGCGACTATAACTAAAAATAAGCGTGTTTTTTCCAAAACAAAAAAGAAAATTGCAACCAGGGCTGGTATATCTAAGGGGGTCGCGACATAGACCCAGTAAATGGATGAGGGGGTGACTGAGGCTAGGGGGGAAATAGTAGTCAGCTTAAGTTGGCAACACTTTTCTGACGTTCGTTTGAACGAGCATCGTGCATAATAATGTCAATATGGTACAAGTGGAATGAACCACTGTTTTCCTCGTAGTCCAATGTGAGTCCAATGTCGAATTAAAACTAAAAACATTTTTTACTTTTTTATATACCAAATTATGCAATTTGTTTCCACTTTATTTTAATGTTACATGAATAGGTACATGCGTTTGTGCTGTGGTAAATAAGTGTTCATGTGAAAATTATCTCTTAAACTACATTGTGATTGCACTCATCTCAAAACTGAATGCTGTAAATCCAGGATTTAAATCTTTCATAGTGTTGCTTGGGATAAATTGTAAAAAAGGTGTTGGACAAAACGTTTACAACCTAAAATTGCATGAAAAACATGACAGAAGAAGGAATTTTACCTTTATGACATTCTCTTTCAACATTTTTAAGTGACTTTGTGGTTTGGTGAATGGACTGTTACCACAGTCAAAAGATTCAAAGTAAAAATAAAGTGACCAAGTTCTAATAAGAATACATAAGTTGAATATGAAAATGTAATTACTTGATTTAAATGTGATTTAATTAAGAGTTAAATAGAGGTTTCATATAAACAAAGTGCTGTAAAATGTTAATAAATGCAAAACCATTATTAAAGAGAAATTAGTTATCATCAATAAGATATTTTGTAGTAGCTGGTCTCTATAAATAATAAACTTGAAAGACTGAATTAGTAGTCACTTTTACACTAGAAGTAAAAACAAAAAAAAAATGTGTGGTTGAGACTAATTTATGTATTTAATAAAAACATTTAACATAAAAGCAGGTGTTATTTGAAATGTTTTATTTTAGTTTAATAATCTTTATAAATTGTGGGTACATTTGATCCGAATCTTGCAAATACTATAAAATGCATATGCTTCTATTTAGTATTGGAGTAGAAGCACAAAAGTTGAATAAAAATATAGATACCAGAATATTTTGCTTGATTACTAAACTTTGGATGTTTTTGTTGTAGTCTGCTGTTAACACTATTGTCCTGAAATATTAAAAAAGCTAGACAAAGGTTTGTCCAACTCTTTTGTCAGCTTTGTTAATCTATGCTACTGTTATTCTGCATGCAGACATTTTTTACTGGAGATTTTCTCTAAGAACTGTATTCAGTTTCAAATTTCGGCCAGTTTTAGGAAAATACCTCTGTTGTAAAGGTATTTCAAATCCATCCTTTGTAAGATGTAGACAACAAATACATGCTAAAATGTATAGAAAACAAATCGCAAGTATTACACAAAATTATTTAAATTAACTAAAAACATACAAATGAAGTGAATAATACCTACCAACAATTTAAAGACCTAAAATAAATAGACTTAAGGGACTGGAGCTCTAAAAAGGGAGCAATAATTTGTTATGTATCATCTATAAGAAAATTGTCTTCATCTCTTTAATTACCTTTTAAAATAAACAAAACTAAAACAGCACAAAATTGAAAGTGATCTACTTTTCCCGACGTATTTTATGTACATCTGAGATTAATAATTTATTAAATTGAAATATTTTTTCCTAAAAAATATGGGCATTTTATAATGGAAATGTCATTTAAGAAATGACATTGATTTTTTTTTATATTGGTAAACCTGGCGACTACAAGTTGCCACGTTGCCAGATCAATGGCGACTACTATTTCAAAAAAAATGGCGTCCAAAATGGACTCCTATGTCGCGACCCCCTTAGATATACCAGCCCTGATTGCAACATAATTTTCAAGAAAAATCGATAATTTTGGCAGCACTGCACGATAATTTTTTCATCGAATGGTGGCAACACTGAACCAATCTGTAGTGTTCTGGAGTAAGTGTTCTGTGCTGTGTAATTATCCTTCCTCCATGGTTCTGTGTCTGTCGGCATTTTCTATGGTCGGCATATTTGTCGGCAGGTAAACTGATAATTTAAAATCTTGAAAAGAAAAAAACATGTAATACAACAAGTATTTAATATATATTTTCTAGAAAATTAAGAATAAACTGTTACTAATTTATAAATAATGGCTAACGGACCCATAGCTGAGCGAAACAGAGGTGTTTAATTTTTCTAACCTAAACAATTTTTTAATATTTTTTGTTACAGATGCAACAATATATGTTGGTGGTCTAGACGATAAAGTCTCAGAATCTTTATTATGGGAGCTCTTTGTCCAAGCAGGGCCTTTAGGTAATATAAATTCTCATTAAAAATAAGTTTCTAACCTCACTTTATTTTACAGTAAATGTACATATGCCCAAGGATCGTGTAACCATGATGCACCAGGGTTACGGCTTTGTAGAATTCATGGGCGAAGAAGATGCGGATTACGCTATAAAAATAATGAACATGATAAAGTTATATGGAAAGCCAATAAGGGTTAATAAGGCATCTGCACATCAAAAAAATTTAGATGTGGGAGCTAATATCTTCATAGGAAATTTAGACCCTGAAGTAGATGAAAAGTTGCTATATGATACATTTTCAGCCTTTGGGGTAATATTGCAGACACCAAAGGTAATAAATTTTTAAAACAAATTTTGTGATGTGCAAAAATATTTTTATTTTTCAGATAATGAGAGATCCTGAGACTGGCAACTCCAAAGGGTTTGCTTTCATAAACTTTGCAAGTTTTGAAGCATCTGATGCTTCAATTGAGGCCATGAATGGTCAGTATCTCTGTAACAGACCAATTTCTGTATCATATGCATTTAAGAAAGACTCAAAAGGTGAAAGACATGGATCTGCAGCAGAACGTCTTCTAGCAGCACAAAATCCATTGTCTCAAGCTGACAGACCTCATCAATTGTTTGCCGATGCACCACCCATAGGTAAGAAAAAACTATATTTGATTTTTTTATCAAGGATAATACCAAATACCACTGTAATTAATTAAATTTTGAGTTTTCCTATAAAACATCTTTATATGGAAATACCTCAAAAACAAACGGAGAAAACGAATCTGCAAGACGAGTTATTTTATAAAATGTAAAAAGTGTGATTAAAATCACATGTCATGTAGCTTTACTAGTCTGGATAACAAAAGTCTATAAGAACATAACGAAGGAGTACAATAGGTCAATGATTATATTAACCGGTTCACTGCCAGAGGACGCTTTAAAGCGTCCGCGTTACCTGCGCATGAGTGCCGCTGGCGCTTTAAAGCGCCCACGACTACCTGTTGGTAAATGCCTAGTAAGTAAGACTTCAGTACTTAGGTGACTTCAGGGTTAAACTGATCGGCAGTGAATGTGTTAACATAGAAAATAATAATTATTTAAACAAGTAATAATATCCCAAACCCCATACTTTATTAAACTATTTGTGCAAAATTGTTATTAGCATTTATAATTTTCTATGACAAAACTGTCAAATCCTTTGTATGAAGTGGGAGAACTGTGAAAACCTTTTCTAACTTCTGTCTATGCTCTACTTATGCAGCCATAAGTTGGGGTTACCAACTAATTTCACCCCAATCACAGGACAGTTGTTTTGAGAGATTATTTATAAGATTAATGTATTTCATGTTATATGCAATTTACAAATAATAGCCCTATTTACAAACTGAGAAATTTCAAGTTGCCTCATTCATTTGCGTTATGTTTGCTGTAGTTATGAGACATATGTGAGAGGGTTGTACGTTACTGAAAATCACTTATCATTTTTATGGCTTTGTTCGTGGTAAGAATCCTGAACCGAATTAGGCGCAGTAGGTAAAAAGCGTTCGCGGAACAAAAAGTACTGAACTGTTGGTCCTATCCTGCGTTCGCGGTAAAATTATTATTGGTTTTGAACCGCTTTTCTATACCTGAAACACCGAGATATAATAGGGATTGCGCGCGCGGTAAAAATTCTGAATTGATAATTAATCGGGCATGCACTTAAAGTATGAATTAGTAATTCTGAATCAGTTCAGGATTGTTACCGCGAACGCAGCTATTATTGTTGAATAATGATTACATTTTTTACTGAATTAATTACTCGTAATAATTATTCACCACATTAAATGGTGATTAAGACTTTTGTTTAAATAAAATATTTTTACCGAAGGTGGTAAACAGTATATATTTTCTATATTTCTGTTCAAAGATAAAAACAATTTATATTTATAGGAATGATGCCAATGACCATAGCACCTCCACCACCACCTTTAATCACAGGAATGATGCCACCTCCTCCACCTACTCCTGGAGGCATGCCACCACCTCCTCCCCCAGTTCCACCACCAAATTCTTTCCCATCCGGAATACCTCCACCTCCTTTACCACCTTCTCAACCGCCACTTCCACCCGGAGCTCCGCCCAACCTCGCCGCAACAGGCGGATCCGGGCCAAGACCCCCTATGCCTGGAGGCATGCCTCGCATGCCTCCGCCACCTCCATGGACGGGAGGACCTTCTGGAAATGTACCTATGCCTCCAGGGCCACCTACTTCAGCTGCATCTGGAGGATTTGGCGGGATGTTTCCACCTCCACCGCCTCCTGGAGGAAGGCCACCTCCGCCTAATTGGAGGCCGCCCCCTCCTCCACCTCCTGGTTTTGGTGGGGTGCGACCACCATTCCCACCTAGAGGACCGCCTCCACCACCACCAAATTTTGATGGATAAAGTATTTTTAAAGGAACAAGAACTTGTTTTTTTAATAATTATCAATATAATTTTTTTAAGTAATACAGACTTTAATTTTTAAATAATTCTTAAGTATTAAATAAGCTGTTATTTGACAATAAATTAAATACACCACTAATTAAAAAAAATAGATATATCAAACACTAGTTGTGATAAATAAGCATAATTGATTTAGTAAACTATTTATTTTCAAGAGCTTTAATTCTTGTATTTAAGCAAGTGACTGTAGAATTCATTTCATTCAAATTCACAGCAAAACTTTCTTGAACACCCTGTAAAAGCATCTTGTTATTTTGCACATATCCTGCCATCTCTGCCTGAGTCAATTCTATGTGGGTTAGAGTTTTTGCAAAGTCTGCAGCTGAAATATGATAAAAATGTTTTTAATATTTTTTAGTTTGATATAATTCTCACACATGAGAGTTTCAAAATTAATTATAGTGAAGAGAGAGTGAATAGTAAAATTAAAGAATATGCATATTTTAGAAACTGCTTGTCTCATGCATAAAAAACTTTGTCTTTATTTTGAAAATAAAAAACTGTTTTTCCTAAATAACCAGAAAATAAAAATTAGTATCAAGTTGAGACTTGATAATGCCTTTATTTTAAAAATAATAAAAAAATTGTTTTTTTTTTAAATAAGCAGAAGGCAAAAATTAGTATCAAGTTGAACCTTGGTAGACATTTTTATGAATGTCTTAAAATTGACAGCTTCTTAAAATTTAGCCACTTACTTAATGATCATATAGGTTATTTATTATTATTTAGGATGAAATGTTACTGAAAATGACAAATCCAAATTTCATGGACATAATCAAATTAGCTCCAAACATAAATATCATGATTTTAACCAACTAGCAAGTAAGGAGTATTAAATTTCTTAACATTTCCAGGTTAAATCTGACAATTTTGCAGACATTTTCGATAATTTTTATTACTTACATGTAAAGTCCGATTACAATCAGAAGAACACAGCTACGTCATCATTTGGCAGAGTAATTAATTGGCTATCGCCGCCTACTGAGGGTTTAGTGGAGTGTTAATATTATAGGAAATATTGTTTAATACCTAAATAACTTACTTATTCTGTATTTATTGATAGTTATAGATAATATGTATTCGAAGTAATGGTTATGTCGCAGCGGTGTTCTAATTGTAACCAGACCCTACCCGTATGTTTTTGCCTAGTCCCGAATTCTAGATAACCTGTTTGTATTTTCTGACAAAAATTTGAACATAAAATGGGGCAAATTATATAAATTATGATTATTTATAAAGATGATATCTTTTCTGGAAACTATGAATAATTTATAACACATAATTGGGTGTATATGTTTTAGAAATGTGTGCACAAACCTTTATTATGTAACTGTTCTAATGCTTTTAGCCTTGCAATAGTTTGTGGTAATAATTTAGAAACACCTTCTGTATTTTTCACCATTTCATACAATTCCAAAATCTAAGAAAAATAACACATTAAATGTTAACAAAAAGGAAAAAGTTCATAAGTAATTACTATCTCATCCTTTTCATCATCTTTCTGCACTTCCTTTTTTTTCTCTGATATAGACTCTAATTTTTGTGCAAGAGCTCCTAGGCGCCCTTCTATATGATCTAATTGAGAAGAATCTAAAAGGCTGGCTGTAGCGCTCAATTGTTCAGCTACTTCATACAAACTACCTAAAATTTAAAAAGTCTAATATGCTTAACATTAATTTTATACCTCTTTTTACCTTTAACTGTCCCTGCAGTCAACCTAGCCAATTTTTCACTTGGTTCACCTATCACTGCTTCTAGTTTATGAAGTCTGGATTCTAAATCTGCTACTCTAGTTGTCTGGGCTAATCGAGCATGTTCGGGTCTGTAGTTGAACTGGTAAACAATTCCAGAACCACCTGTTTCTTCTTCAGATTCTGGTTGATCATTTATAGAAGATTTGAACTGTTCAAGTTGAGATAATAATGTCCTAAAATAATAATTTGTTTTAATATACATAGTAAATATTTGAAAACTAAGTCACAATTTTGATGTAGTAAGGAAACAGTAACAAGACAAACATTAATAGAAAATGGTGTTATTGTTTCAATGTGGTTCTTGTCACAGTTTAGATATTAAATACAAAAATCATAAAAAATAAATATCAATGATTTTACAATGGAGATTTAGTAAAAACTGAAATCATAATAATAAAAGAAACTAAACACATGTTGACTGTTACAAACATTTATGGGTTCTTTCGGACCAGCAGGTTCCAAAAGGAAAAGACCCATAAAATATTCCTAGTGTTAGATGATTATTTAAATAAAGGATATTAAGCCTTCTTTCAGATGGTTTAGGAAAATTTGAAAAAATGATGTATTTATAATTTTAAACTACTCGATGTTCCTCAAAATCTGACATGAACATTTTCAGGATACCTTGCATACATTTTCCAGAAAAACTAAAGATATGTAAGTAGGTACTACTAGTTAATTTTAAAATAATAAACAACTTTTTTGTCCTTAAAGGAATGAGTTTCTATAAAAATTTGGTGGTCATACAACTCTATAAATAGAACCTAAATATGTCCATTATAAATAAAAAATTGATCAGATTTAGGGCCGATCTTTTCAACACTGAGTAAAGTTACATGTAAGTTTACTTGACAGATTAACAAACAATAGCCCTAGTTTAATTAGCAAGTAGTTACTTTCAACTTTACTCAGAGGTGAAACGACTGACTTAGATTTATAAATTTAATGTTTAAATTCAAACTTTCACTCAATTTATCTTCAGTAATTAAAGATGAAACTATAGAAATAATAAGATATTTATGGAGTTAGTAGATACATTCATTCTTAAATGTTGTTCAGCTTATTAGCCAATTTTTTAACTGAATCAGTGTCACTCAAAGAAATCTTTACAGAATTTATTTAAAAAAGCTAAAGTGGACCTACAAGTGGTAGAAAATGAGCTAGAGCAAGCAGGAATAACTGAAAAGCACCTCTTGGCAACGTTGTCAACTACATTAAATCTGTAGGCTGGCACATGAGCTAGGAGGGCCTATCATCTATATCATCTAAGTGCCGTGGGGTAACCCACCCTCTACACGTTACAGATAACTGACTGAAGAAAGAGAGCAAGGAACCACAAAAAGTTAGGATCAGTGATCAAAAACATGCCAGAGGCATTCAAGACCAGTAGAGCTGTTATACATTCATATTGTGTAGAATATACATTTTAATTAGCCTATATTAGTAGAAATTAAAACATTTCACTCATATAATTAAGTTAGATTGTGAAATTTTGTTGAGGTGCTACATTCCATACAAGAAATTGATACTTTATATAGATCAGTGGTTCTCAAAGTGTGCTCAGCGGAGCTCTAAGGCTCAGCAAAGCCTCTGTGGGGTCTCCACTAAAATAATAGTCATAATAAAAAAATAGTAAAGGAGTACTATAAGATTGCTGGCCCGACGAGAGGGGGGGAGGCAAGGGGGACAAATTCCCAGGGCCCGACTTTAGCTGAGAACGGTTTTTTTTGAGGTTTGCCATAAAAGGGAGGATCTGGTTTGAGGACCTTTTTCTTATTTTTATTTCACTAAGAAACGATCTGATTTTGCTTCAGGACCTTTTTTTAGGGCTCCCTCAAATATTTCGCTATTCAAAAGGGTTCCATCACCAAAAAGTTTTAGAACTGCTGATCTAGATAACTGCCTGGTATTGTATGGTTGTTTTGCACCTATAACAGAGGACTTAAGATAATGTACATTGGCCTTTCAAATAATAAAATGTTTTTAATACCTACCATAAATAGAAGTACGTTTAAAGCAGCAATTAAAAAAATATTGCCAGACATTGTCTTTATAACACAGAAAGATAAAACATGTTTTAACAAATTTAACATACCTATATTTTTATTTATGTATGTGTTTATATTTAGGTATAAATTTGTTTTCTATTTTTTTTTTTTAAGTAACCAATACATAGAGGTAACATACTTAAGTTGTGCCCCCTGAGGATCAGATATTTTCTGCATAATTTCTTCACCTAATGTGTCTTCCAGTTTCAAATCTGCTAGTTGTTTTAATGCCTGCTCAATTTTTTGACTAGAAAGAAGACAGTTATCTCCTTCATCTTTCTTAACATTCTTAAATTTATTAACCTCTTCTAAAACTTCCTTCATCTCACATAACAATCTATTATATCTTTGAATTAGCGTTTCATTTTCACCAGAACCTACGAGCTCCCATTCCCAACTTCTAGCATCATAGCCCGTTCTTGATCTTTTGGCCAATCTAGTAGAAAAATCAACATTTTCAGAATCTAAGTACTTTCCTTTGAATTTGTTGAAAGCCTCATCCGTTGAAAGGTGAATTCTTTCAATTGGATCATTTTCTTCTTCAAAAAAATCTGTAGATTGGTCCGACTCGGGAAGATCTGAAGTTTCGTAAACATCAGGTTCATCATGAGCCTATGAAAAGGGAGAATTAGTATCTGAAGAAAAAAACTACATTTCCCTTTCTGAAAGTTTTAATGTAAAAATTAGGAATTTATACATACTATTCCTGGTAGATCGGCATACTTTGGATTAGCCATAGTTAAATTTAAAGATTTTCGTGACAGCAAAATGAGTAATCCAAATGAACGCGAATGAATGAAACTGACATCTGACAGGGCATGACAACTGACAACAACATTTGAATTTCTTCTGTTCGTAATTATTTTTTGGGACTAAACCACTGCGGCTGACGGTTATTCGATCTTTTCCAGCCACAAAGCACGTATCATGGAGGAAGCACGTAACTTCTCTAGGGCCCGTATTCCGTATTTATAAACAGAACTTACGTGAGTCGGACTTGGGTAAGTCGTCCTTGAACTAAAATCGAAGTTCGGTTACAACGTCTCTAAAGTTCTAGGTGGTTCCGGTGTTACACTGGAATTTAGAGATGAATATTCGCAAATCTATAACTGTTATGTACATTTATGGATTTGTTACTACCCATCTCTAAATTCACGCTATATAACCGAACTTCGATTTTCGTTCAAGGATGACTTACCCAAGTCCGACTCAGCTGAGTTTTGTTTAGGCCCGTATTTATAAACTCAGCTGAGTCGGACTTGGGTAAGTCGTCCTTGAACGAAAATCGAAGTTCGGTTATATCGCGTGAATTTAGAGATGGGCAGTAACAAATCCGTAAATGTACATAACAGTTACAAATTTGCTAATATCCATCTCTAAATTCCAGTTAAACACCAGAACCACCTAGAACTTTAGAGGCGTTGTAACGGAACTTCGATTTTAGTTAAATGTGCGGTCGTCATATTAAGGATAACCAAACAATTTGTAATAAGTATCTTAAGAAAAATGCTTTTTTGTACTGGCATCAATGGTAAGTAATATTTACAAACTTGTTTTTGATTCAGTGTTAAAATAATTGGTTTGTTATTTAAATTTCTTTTTGTTTTCAGTTTTTAAATGATCATTGTTGTAAAGAAAAAGTTGGCCCTTAAAATACCCTGTAGATCGATGAAATATTTGAGCCTTAGCCTATCAATATCAAAATTTGATTCAATGCCATTGACATCAAACAAGAAAACACCCCAAAATCTTCAAAGGTCCAAACGTGTGTAAGTTTAATTTAAGCTCGAAAGTTAAATTCATTTATCACAATGAATAAAAATTTGATAACTACAAGTGCTGTATAAATGAATCAAGAAAACAATATCGGATGAAGAAATGTTCCTCAACTTAACTAGTCGACTCAATAAGCATGTGGCAAATTTTATCCACCCTCAAATTCGCCTTGATAGTAAGACACCAAAAGGATGATGCTTCAACTTCAATTTTTTCAAACTTATTGCCACTCCAAGTGGCAAAACTTTTATATTGGTCTTGAGCACTTATATATGTCGATTTTGTTACAGAAAACATTTTTGATAGGTTTGTTTTATAAATATTTAATTATTTAAATGCATATATGTTTGAGTATTTCCATGTTTAAATAGACAAATTATATAATGCGGCGTTAATTTACTATAATAAAAAAAAATAAAATAAATTGCATTTTATTTCAAGTTTGAAATTAATGCAAAAATATAATGAAGAAAATCAAACAAAAAAAAATAAATTGGCAAAATATTTGACTAGTTTCAAATCACAAAACAGTCAATATGGTTGTTTTATGATTTGAAACTAGTCAAATATTTTGCCAATTTATTTTTTTTTGTTTGATTTTCTTCATTATATTTTTGCGCGACTAGCGGAAAGTTAAATTTCGAAAAGCCCGCGCTAAGCGGCCATATTGAATTTTAGTACCACTCCAATTTGATAGATGGCAGCACATCGACTCAGAATATTACCATTGAGTTTCCCATCTATTCACTTTACCTAATCTATGCTGTTGTCAGTGTCCATTGATCTGGCAACGTAAGGATACGTCATATGTATTATTTTTGATATACAAAAGTGGGACCGGTAGGCGTGGCTTTTGCACTCACTAAAATGGCGGAAGAGCAGAACCGGATTTACAAGTTTTTATTGTACTATTTCTGGTAAGTATCATTATTTGAACTATAAAAAATGAATTTCCTTTATTATAGATAAAAACTTATACATTGACTTAAAAGGTGGTGGAAGGCCAAGGTTACAAAAGAAGGGGGTCTAAAGATTTAAATATACCCGGTTTTCAGCCGAGAGGTGTTGAATAAAGTAAATGAAAGAAATAAAATATAACTGATTTAATTATCACTCAAGTGTGACTATTAAGTGCTGGAGAATATATTATTTGCAAAATTGCAACTAATCAATGACCATGATATAACTAACTTGTGGCCGATTCTACCATTGGGTTAAACGAAGTTTAAAATGACATTTTTACATAAAATGAAATTTTAATCTTCAATTAGGTTGTTTAAACTTTAACACAGTGGTGGAAATAATCCTAAAGCGTTGAAATCATTCACAGAAAAAATAAATAGCACAACTTTGGTTCACATAAGCGACAAAAATAAAGCGAATTCGATTTATTGGATCAGTCGTCACACTTTTTCACTAGGGCACATACGTAGCCCAATGCTTTCTGTTTCTATCTTTAAATCGGAAAGTACAAGGTCGCAAATGTCAAGTAATCTAACCTTACTTTAATTAACAGCTTCCTCGAAATTAAGAACAAATGTTCATACACTAAAAGGCTCGAGGAAAATGGCTAATAAACAATCTCTGTGTAGGTAGATGCACTATTCAGGAAATCAAAATGTGGATTAATTTTACTTGGTCTTGGTACTCTTGTAGATTCAGACTGAAAGATGTGTATCTTCATGCAAGACATTCAGTACATCAGCGAAGCCACAACCAGCGGTGTGCTGGTAGGTACACAGGTTCACTTCTAACAAATGTAAAATATGAAGTGATCTTACTTGAGACTTATAGATCCAGTGACGATAATATGGTGGTTGGTTTGAGCTGGGCTTCTCACCATCTGCAGAGATTATGACTACTTATATAAAGGCCTACCATAGTAACAACATCACCACAAGAGTGCCTGTCCAATTTAATTGGTCTATGCACAATAACCATGCATGTATGATTGAAAGTCAGACAAAGAATGTGAAGATAAAGTTAAAGTCTCAATCATAGTTAAAGTCACAGATGAAGTTAAAAGTAAGAGTTGAAATTGTAGGCTGGTGATAAAGGGAGGCCAACATCTAAGTAATAAATGTTTGTAGAGTTAGGAAAAGAAGTATCATCTGCTGTAAGCGCTTTTCTTAACAACTAAGGTAAAAACCAGAATATTTCATAATACACAATTTCTTCGCTAGGCAAAATAAGAAATAAATTTGTGAGAGTACTTCCCAAGTGTTTTTTCAAAAGCTCTAAGAACAAAATTGATGAAAATGGCCTAAGCCAAGTTCAAATTCTAAAACTTGAACATTAAAGATAAGTAACTTACTGTAAAATAAGTAAAACCTCGTTGTTGATTAAATGGTTGAATAATTCATTACCTGGAGGTAGAATAGTGACCAAAGTTTAGCAGGAAAAAGCCACTAGAAAAGGTGAACAAAACAGAATGGGGCATATAAAAGTCAAGCAAATATTGTAAATGCAAATAATGTTTGCTGTGATTAAATAAAAGTGTACAAAGAATAAAGTTTTAATATTTTCTTATCCATACCTATGAGTGATATTTATTTTTAATACTAAACAAACGGTTATGATTTTGTTGCTAGTATCATTAAAAAAAGACTAAGTGAGTATTGATGTTATTTTTTTTTCGATTTATGGCCTAATATGCCAGTCTCAAGCTTGTGTTTAAATTCTCAATCATGTGTGGTCTGGGTAGGCTTTGTTACTGTTTCCCAGCGCCACTTCAGGAACAGTACTCTTAATTAGAACCCAACAGTGAATGGTGGAGTGGGGAATCCTACCAAGGCATCATAAAATATTTATTATTATAAGAACTTAGATACAGTGTGTTCATAATATGCACTGTACAAACTTAAATATCATATTCCTAAATTCATTTCAAGCATAAAATGTCCTATGAACAAATATCCAATTCTACATGGTTACCAAGCTACAAGAGTTTAAATATCAAAAGATATATTAACATAGTATGCCATGGGTTCAAATATGTCGAAACACTCCATACAAGTAGCTCACGAATATTCATGACAAAATCATTAAAGGTACACTATGTTGGCATATTATTAATTCAAAAACAGCAAAGGTATGTTGCAAATTTAAATTTATCATAAAAAGGAAACGTAGTTGACAAGTGTAGTACTGAGTAGCCAACTGACGTTTATAATTATTGTTGATAAACAACTAAAAGTTTTGAAAATGTGATATTTAAGTTTGTATAGTGCGTCTTGCAACATCCTGTATATGTAACTGATCATTTTAGACATGTAAAAAATGTAATCTGGACAGCTACATCTCGGATAAACAAACGCAGATGTAGTAGATGTGTCCAATGTGGATAAACAAATGCTTGAGACATAAAAAATGCATCAGATATGGATATTCAGATGCAGCAATAGTTGGTATGTTTTCAACAGTGACAACAAATGTCAGATTAATTTAAATTGATCAAAAATTAGTGTGATGAATTTTTTTAGATAAAATAGTTAAGCGAAAATTATTGAAGAAATGAGTTTTTGTTTGATTTTTATTCTCTATATAATTTCGTGTTTTTTTGCTTATATTAATAGCACTTGTGGTATTATTACTAAATAAACAGGTCAATAACATTTTAATATGAACAAAATTAAATATAATTATGAATTTATAATGTTTAAATGTTATAAGTGTTTTAAAAACTATTTATTAACTGACTTGAAAGTATTTATTAGTGTTCAAATTCGTATAAGAAAATACTTTTTTATTTTCGAATGGAGGTATATGATTTATGTATGGGCCAGAGCCTATTAAAACAATACAATAATACATATTACAGTTATTAAATTATTAATAATAATTAATGAAAAATCTAAATATAACTACTAAATTCTGTGGGAGAGATGTTAAGTCGATTAGCAGATATTATCACTCTAGGAATAAAAGAATGAGAAGCATCATCTTAATGCATTTTTCGATATTAATTTATTCTTGAGGACTTTCCCATACAGCACAAATATTACATTGAAATATTTGAATTGTATAAATATTACGAAACAACC